GACAACACAGGGATCATTACAAAATTCGAAAAATTCTATTCTGTTCCAACAATTATGGAAGTATTTCCAGAATTTTCATTATATGAATGTAGTGTTAAATTGAATCTTAAACTTTCTAAAGCTTTTCCAGTTTATATAGTTTCGCAGTGCAACGAATTACGATTCAAAATGGCGGACACAACGGCCATGAGCTTTTTTAGACTTAATAATATCCTAGACACAATAGTTTGGTAAAATTCATTTTTATTACATAACACACTCGTTTACATCACAGCTATAATCAATAAATTAATTTTGATATAGTGCAATTCAAGATAATGTATTAATTCCCATTGATGCAGTCTATTTTTATCACCTATTTTAGATCGTTTACGATTGGCCAATCACGTTCTCCCAATAACTATTGCATCATTCCCGGAGTTAAATTTCTGGCATCCAATAGGAAATCGACTGTCAACAAACTTATTATTCCTACATAAAAATTCATATTAATTACAATGACAGCGATTGCTCTTTGAATGGAGCTTTCCGTGCATTTTATGTAAATTTAGTATTTGATTTTACTCAGTAAAAAGTTAGGATTACGAAATAGAATGATTTTCCATCTTTAGTGATATAAGGATCAAAGGAAAACAATGGGTTTGAAGTGTATTTTTAACTGTTAGCTTTTAATATTCTATAATCGTTGCTATAGAATACCTTGGCACGTTGGACTATAGAATTATTTGCCGCCAGCCTTACATTTTTCTCCTCTACTTTTTCGCAGTTCTTCCCCTTAGCCCCCTTTCATCAATGTTGGATGTTGTTTTGAATGTTTGTGTACTATGGTAACATGCTCAATGACAACATTGCATTTAGGGGATCAGGGGGGGGGGGGGGGGATGAAATTGTCTGCGGGTGTTGTTAAATTACCTATAATGTTTGCTGATTTTCTGTGAACTGATTATATATGAAAGAAATAATTGGATGGTGAAAAACTCCTTCATCTCAATGTTGCGTCTTTGAGTTATGAAGATTCAATATGCTAATGACACCAAGTGATGCTTCATTAAGGCCCGTTTACACTTGCAATTTTTGCTTGCAATTTTTGCAGCGCGATTGTCGCGCGACAATCGCCTTAGTTTCGAACATGCTTGAAATTTAKCTGCAACTCGCGGCGATTTTTGATCGCCGCGACAATCGCGGGGCTGTTTACACGTACGATTTTAGGTGCGAGAGAACAAAGTGGCGATTGTCGCGCGACAATCGCGCTGCAAAAATTGCAAGTGTAAACGGGCCTTTAGATATACGCCGAAATAGTCGCTTAAAAAACTTCTTCACAGCATTGAATTTATCGTAAAGTAAAGAATACCGATTTTCCAAGATGACATCCATGAAAGAAAATTGTAGTCAGTACTTAAAATTTAATGAAGCTTTACTTGACTTCATCGTCATCAGGCATAATGTAATTAGATTGAACCTTTATAACCTAAAGACGCAACACTAAAATGAAGGAATATTTTGCCATTCAAATATTTACTTTCGGTATAGAATCAATTCAGAGATATCAGAAATTATTGTGGCGTTCGCTGGAATGGTCCAAGGATTTTCTAAACGATCGTATCACGGTCGACGGAAAATCACTCCTCGATTTTTTCATTGCTACGTATGGCTTTTTAAATTCAAATTAATTAATAGTGCTTTGTACAAGTGTTTGGGTCGGCTATGGTACAAGGTATGCATCAGCTAAACTTTGCATCGTCGAATTACTCATTGAAGATAAAGAATCCAGATAATGGAGAAATCTGTAAAAAAAAAACAGAAAAAATAAATAAAGGATTGAGATTTGACAGATCACGAGATGGTCTAACAATCGCTTAATTTATAAAGATATCGATAAGATATCAAATTTTAATGTTGAAAATGGAAGATATCATATCTTTCTCATGTGAAGATATCGCTGTAGGGATAAAAACATACTCGGCTTGCTATTTTTATAAATGTTTTGATTTTTTTTAGTTTCAACGATATATAGAGGATATTACATGGGCGCGCGGAGATACGGATTTTATCTTCGAGTGTTGAAAAGATCTCTCACGAGTGAGCGTAGCGAACGAGAACACTGAGAAAAATCGTATTTATCTGACACATGTGTCATAAAAATGGTATTACATGGGTATGACGTCGAGAGATTATTAGCCAATCGCTGATCAACATTTGATCACATGACATGTAAGTTTCGCGCCACTGTCGACGCGCGTACGCGTTGATTTGCTTTGACAAAGAAAGTCGACATCAAGTTAAGTATCTACTAAAAACAACAAAAAAGCCTCGTATTTAAAATGAATTCAAAGGAAGAGATCAGAAAACTGAACAGATTTGAAGAAATAGAGGATCATGACATGTAGAAGCTATCATAAACCTCGAAGAAAATGAGAACACAAAGAAAATACGGCCAAGTAAGACATGGCGATTTTCGTCGCCTTCTTGAACAATTCACAAAACCAGAGCCGTGATGTACACGAAATACAACCAAATATGCTTGATTCATACATCATCAAATTCTTATTATCTGTCAGAAAGCGTGAGAGCACAGAGACAACTACGAGCAAACAATGGTATTATCCTCTATATAACAAATGCAACACAAATTTTTAATAGTTGAACACTCGAAGATAAAATTCGAAGATAAAATTCGAAGATAAAATAAAATTCGAAAAAAATGCAAAAAAATGCAAAAATGCAAAACAAAATGAAAAAATGAAAAAAAATTTGCAAAAATGCAACACAAATTTTTACTAGTTGAACACTCGAAGATAAAATTCGAAGATAAAATTCGAAGATAAAATTCGTAGTATCTCTTGTTATATCCTAAGTAGTTCAATCGACCGAGGAAATGAACTGGATGTTCCAAAATTTCATATTCGCGTTTTCAGGCGACGATTTGGTTTTTGAATGCTCTTGTTTCCTATTCAACACAAAATGTATTGATATCACTCCTCCGCTGCAGTCACTATCGCGTCACCTGGTCAAATCATCCAATGAGAAGAGAAACATTTTTTAAAGAATAGACTTCTGAACCTCGTACGTCACTACTTTTCAAGAGAAAACAAATGAAATCCGCTATTTCATGTCCTAAACATATCCTACAATGCATTGCGTTTACGGTACATGACGTAAAAGCTTCAAAGGTTTGTTATTATATAAAACCGTGTGTACTGGAGCCTGGATGCAAGTGAGTGGAATGATCTGATTGGTCGATGTCGAATTTTCTCCGGTCCAGATCGTCTTGGCAGACCACGCGCTCTACATTACTCGCGATTTGTTGAATTATTGCGAATGTTACTTAACAAAAACACAGAAATTCAATTTTGATGATAATACTAGGGGTAAAATTAGTTAAAATTAGTTAGACTTATGTACAGTCATTCGCTCTAGTGATGATTGGAGAATAAAAAAGGGAATTTATCTCCTATTTTGCACCATTTTAACTTCACGGATTAAGATTTCACTCTTGTCCAAAAAGGAACCTCCCTTAGCCCTTTTAGAGTCATTGCTAATGAAACTTCGCAGAATAAAATTCACATATTCATATTTGATGACGACACCCGTCATTAGTTTTAATTCCAAACAATCCATCAGAAAATCACAAATGGTCAAATTGATATAATTTTGATATACTGGCTAAAATTAAATCTGTCTATTTTACTTGTATATTACTTATCTATAAAGTCATTAAGGTGAGATATGTCTATAAGAAACCCAAAAAAACTATATATTTTTTTATTCCAATTGACAATGCCTTTAAAAATTCTTCATTTTGAGTCTAAATCCCTGCCAAAAAACTTGTTTTAGACCTCTGAAGCTTTTACGTCACACTGTGTGTGCAATGCATTGTAAAATATGTTTGGGACAAAACATGCCGTACAATTGTTATTATTTTCCCCAGAAAGTGATCCCACAATGCATTGTAAGTAGGTAACGTGAAAGCTTCAGAAGTTGATTTTGACTATTAGAAAAACTATTACACAAACAGTTCCAATAAACCAGCATATACACACAGTTCCAATAAACTACCCTAGCATGGTAGACTACAAAATGGCTAAATACCTGCTAAAAGCAGGACTACAAATGAATGTTGTGATATTTGAACAACGTTTTCTGTGCTTCCATCTTAGGAAAAACTATTATACAAACAATTCCAATAAACTACCCTAGCATGGTAGACTACAAAATGGCTAAACACCTGCTAAAAGCAGGACCACAATACTAAGAATGTTGTAATATTTGAAAAACGTTTTCTGTGCTTCCAATTTAGGGAATTGTCAAACTTCTTCCCTATACTGGTCTAGCGGTTATATTTCCTTAATATTTGTTTATTTTGGAAGATAGAGCAAAAACCATGAAATATAATCAAACTAAATACTAACAAATAGCGGCTATTTATAGACAAATTATCAGTATCAATGAACCAGAACGCAATAAAGATGAATGAAAAATGGTACCATGCGGATTCATCTTCATTGTGTTCTGGTTCATTGATACTGACAAATTGTCTCTAAATAGCCGCTATTTGTTAGTATTTAGTTTGATTTTATTTCAGGGTTTTGCTGCATTTGCTCTAGTGTGATAACATTAAATTCCATAAACATTAAAATAGATTCTACACCTAATAGTTTTCATTCAGTAATTATCGTGTAGTAATTATATAGGTTTTGTTCAACAAGCAACTAAAACGATCGAWATATTGCAAATTATTCGCATTATACTGTCCAAAGGGCAATGTGCATTGACGCCATTTTGTGCAGCAAAGGATGATGGTAGTTGTAGCCCTCGCACTTATCATAGACTCTTAAATATCTCCTTTAAAACCTTTTTATGCTTTCTTTGTATAGAAATGGCAAAACTACTTCTATTTCAGTCGAGGCTTTCAGAAGGACTGTTTTAGCGGACTATAACTTCCATCTTGCTTTGCTGCACAAAATGGCGCATTGCCTATTAGTCGAGTGATCACACCTTCAGTACAGCAAGTTTATGCACGTCAGTTTCTTTTTTTTTTTTGAAATTAAGTTTTGTTTTTAATGTTATTTTTTCAATGAGTATTTTATACTACCATTGAACATCTCTGTCTACATCGATCCCCCAGCACTTAACAGTGGCAATTAATTAGACGTTTTGTTGGAGTCCTGATCCGAGCAATGGTGTTGTTTCAGTGCTCTCATCAAAATTGATACTTGTCAATCTTGGACTAACATTTGTGCACTGATGATCACCTTGTGACACTTGAAAAGTCAATCCCTCGGCACCCTCACCAGGACTTCCTTCTTGTTCATGGTCGTCCGAAAGGTTCACTTCTGTTTGATTGGCATCTTCTTTTACCGCATCCGTTTGAGTGGCAGCTTCTTTTACCGCATCCGTTTGAGTGGCATCTTTTTTTACCGCATCCGTTTGAGTGGCATCTTTTTTTACCGCATCCGTTTGAGTGGCAGCTTCTTTTACCGCATCCGTTTGAGTGGCATCTT